AGCATGGGTTTAATGATACAGAGTTGCAGTTCCCAACCCCCAGGGCTGCAAAATGGTACCAGTCAGTGGCCTGTCAGGAACAGGGTGACACAGCAGGAGGCGAGTGCTGGGTGAGCAAGCAAAACTTCATCTGTATTTACAGCCGCTCCCCATTGCTTGCCACCCCACCCCCGGTCTGTGGAAAAATTAATTGCCTTCCATGGAACTGGTCCCTGGTGCCAAAAAGATTGGGAACCACTGATATAGAGGTAAATACCACAAGAATCAGCTAAAAGAGTAAAAATTGGAGGAAGTTTTCTGTAATAAGTCTCAGAACTATTTGACTCTTTAAATGGTTCTCAGAGAACTACTTAACTCCATGTATGAAAAATTAAAATATTTTTAAAATTATATTTGATTTTAAAGACAATTTGATACATTGGTTTGGGGTCTATTAAGCTTGCCCCAGTTTACTTGATTTGAATCAGAACAGACCCAGAAGAAAGAATATCAAAGCAAGCTCCAGGTTTATTAAACCACTTTTCTATCCCTCTGAGCAAGGCAAAATAACAGGCTAGAATGTAGATAAGACCTTAACCTTCTCCCTCTTTTATGCCTGGTTTACTCAACAAACCTTCTATTAAAGTCTTAAATATTACACCATTGATTACTGGTATCCTTGCCCGTCAATGTCCCTAGATGCCATTTAGAGTGGGAGAGAGGGACTTTTCACTTTTCACTTTATTTGCTCTTATACTGTTTGCACTTTTATAGTAGATGTATTTTACAGAGAGAAAGACAGACACACACATACGGTTATTAGAACATCCTTAATTAGTTCATAACCTGTCCTCATGCACCTTGACCCAACTCAAACTACAGTAATATGATTGGAAGTAATATCAATATGCAAAAAAAACAATGACCAAGAGACCACATCCCAAATAAAATATTGCCCATATCCCAGCAGGTAAATAAATCTAAAAAACATAAAATGACACATACTAAGTAGCTGGTGCTAAATATAATTTCCAGGTATCAGAAAATAGAAATCAGGCTGGGCGTGGTGGCTCATGCCTGTAATCCTAGCACTCTGGGAGGCCGAGGCAGGCGGATTGTTTGAGCTCAGGAGTTCAAGACCAGCCTGAGCAAGAGCGAGACCCCATCTCTACTAAAAAAATAGAAAGAAATTAATCGGACAACTAAAAATATATAGAAAAAATTAGCCGGGCATGGTGGCACATGCCTGTAGTCCCAGCTACTTGGGAGGCTGAGGCAGGAGGATCGCTTGAGCCCAGGAGTTTGAGGTTGCTGTGAGCTAGGCAGACGCCATGGCACTCACTCTAGCCAGGCCAAAAGAGTGAGACTCTGTCTCAAAAAAAAAAAAAAAGAAAGAAAATAGAAATTGGTTTTCAAGTTCCCTATAGAATATATATACCACTTAGATAAGTTTCATATTTTATTTATTTAGTTTTTTGAGACAGGGTCTCGTTCTGTTGCCCAGGCTAGGGTGCGGTGGCATCATCAACAGCTGACTGCAACCTCACACTCCTGGGCTCAAGTGATCCTTCTGCCTCACCCTCCCAAGTAGCTGGGACTATAGTAGCGTGCACCACCACGCCTGGCTAATTTCACTATTTTTGTAGAGACGGAGTCTCACTTGTGCTCAGGTTGGTCTTGAACTACTGACCTCAAGCGATCCTCCCATCTCAGCCTCCCAAAGTGCTAGTATTACAGGCATGAGCCACCATGCCCAGCCTTCATTTTAATAAATGAAAATTTATTCTTTAGATATGATTTGCTAACTTCCTTTGCAATAAAACTCAAGTTTATCTCCAAATCACCGTGATCCATCCTTCTTTTGCACTCTATAGTACCTACTAGAACAAAGCTAGGCTCATGGGTAGGTACCAGAAGTTACTAAGAAAAGTTGATCTAAAGAATTAAATCAATTAGAGGAAAAAATATCAATAATGTCAAATAATAGTTAAAATTTCCTCTGTAATTTCATAAACAATGTTTTATAAGATTTACTTTAGTATTAATTATTCATAAATAGATTTTTTTACACTGTATTAAAGACTAAACATAAGCTTATTGAAAAGATTGTCTTTATTTTGCCCCACCAATTTTCTTAAGTTTTTATTTTTTATTTCCTTTTGAGATGGAGTCTCACTCTATCACCCAGGCTGGAGTGTGTAATGATAGCTCACTGTAACCTCCAATTCCTAGGCTCCTCCCACCTCTGCCTCCCAAGTAGCTGGGAACTATAGGTGCATACCACCACACCTGGCTCACTTTTACAATTTTTTGTAGAGTCAGGGTCTCACTACGTTGCCAGGCTGGTCTCAAACTCCTGGCCTCAAGCAATCTTCCCACCTTGGCCTCCCAAAGTGCTGGGATTACAGATGTGAGCCACTGCACCTGACCAGGTTTTTATTTTAAAACAAACATACATTAAAAAGCAATTCTCATCAGCTTAATAACTATTAATAGCTTTGCAAACCACAATTCAATATTTTAAATCATGTGAAACAACTGATATTAATTCAAGGACTTCCAAATACTGTAGTCACAAGAATAAAAAAAGAAACTAAATCTCTTATAAAGATGTTTGTGACACTGCAATATCTAGTAATATATTCCTTGTATACTCTGATTTTAAAACTTAGCTCGGAAGTTATCTTTGACAAATTCTAAATGTAGAAGAACTAAGTAAGCTAGTTAAAATTACATTCTTTAATATTATATCTCCTTTATTTTAATACTAAAATACCAAGAGAAAAAAAGTTCCTTCTATTTACCTCAGTAATTGGCTGCCCCTGATGTGTCAAATCCAGTTCTTGAGGGCGTGTTACTTTATCAATATCCAAAGAGTCCATGCTGGAGGCTGCAGAAGTGATGCTAGAACGAGAAGAGTTACTAATAGAACGTACTTCAGCATCACTCACTGTGCCTGCTGACGCGGTTCTTCTGTGCTGATTAGTTACTACAGGCTTAGTATCTTCTAGTACAGATTGCTGAGCAGCCTCATCCATGCTCAAGGAGGCCTGTTCTAATTGTGCAGTGATGTCATCCAGAGAGAAGTTGGCATGGGAAGGTTTAGTTATTTGATTAGATGAAGAAGACAATGCTTTCAAGGTGCCATGTTTTGACGTATGTCGGCTAGTAGGTAATTTCTGAGTAGCTTTTGTTTCTGTGATTTGTCGCTTACTATTTCCTGAGCCAATACTGCTGAGCTCCTGCTCTATAGAGCAAAGATCGGCCATTAGGGCATCCAGATCCACAGTCTCTCCCTGATTCAGAGCTTCTGCAATGAACAGCACACATAATGTTTTTAGAACACAATCAGAATTTGTATATTCTACTATAAATCAATTAATAAATGCATGTGGTAAAGCAAAAGAATTCATCCCATTGAATCTAAAGCCAATCAAATAAAGTATTTCTAATAGTTTTTTTAATTCCGAAAGAAATTTTTAGAAGCAAATAGTTCCTCTTAATATTAGCAGCAATCAGAGGAAGAATAAAATTATGAGATCAAAGACAAAGACACCACAAAAATCTTACATTAGTTCACAGTTTTAGCTACATTCCCCCATGCAACTTTTTACCAGAGGCTTTAATAAGTTGTTAATATGGTCAGTGCCCTGACAGAGATGTTAAAATACCAAAAGAGCTGAGGGCATAAAAAGAGAAGTCAAAAGTCTAAAAAAATTACAGATTGATATGTCAATTTCAAATACCATAAAGTTGACTAGGTGAAGTACATTAAATAAAGGCCATAGGAACTGATTAAAAATTGCAGGTAATTTCACTGGACTTTAGTGTGAAAACAATAATTTAGTTAAGTTTGCTATGGAGTTTTACCTGACTATGTACTTTGTCAATTACTAATAAATCAAGTAGAAAACTATTTATGTTCCAATTTACTTTTTTCTGTTCTAATCTGAATTAGTAATACAATACACAGATCAACACTATAAGAACTCAGTAAAGTTATGCATAGTTTTTATATTGAGTTTTTTATATTTGGAATTGTGGCTGCATTGCTCTTACATTATATAACTTAGCATACTATTTCACATTTTATTTCCAATGACATCTTACCATTCAAGTTGTATATGGAGAAACGATAAGAAAAATTGGCCATGTTTGTTTCCTGGCGAAGAGGAGATCTTTTTACTGGTTCCATGGGCTTATCAGAATCCAAACTCTTCAAAAATGAAAGTTTAGTAAGTCATATTAAATTCAGGCTTCAATTATATAAAAGGTGAATGAAGCTTGTTTTATGATGAAGTGAATTGCCACATAATAATTAATAAAACCAAAGTTCTTCTAAGCAATAGCCTTAAGGAAAAATGTAATTTGTTTTCATATTATTATTTTGGTTATAAGTCATTTCAATTTTTAGATATATGCTTACTTTTAAAGGGGCTTGAGACTGTCATAGTTCAGAGTAAATACCTTGTCAAATACATCAAGTATAGTGACTGACCTCATTTTACATAAATTCACTATAAAATAAGCTAGTATATGAATATGGACATGGTAAAATAAGAAATAGAAAGAAACCATGCAGAAAGTTCTGTTCTTTCCTCAGAGAGATTTTGTTTTTTGGTCCAGAATAGCCTCATTCTTTGGCATGAAGTACCCTGAAGATAATGGACAGTTCTGGATTTAAAATCAGTGAGACCAAAGACCTTAACAGAGAGCAACTACAACTTCAAACAATGATGGAATATCCTTGTTCTTTTTAAGCCTTATCAGCAAACTGTAACCCAGCTACACTGCTTGTGACAAAGCTAGAACTATAATGTACTTTGGAGTAAGGTGACTTTTAAGTTATTTCACCACCTTTTAAATAATACTCTTTTCCTCTTTAACCTTTCTCTAATAAGGAAAAATGATATTTATAACAGAGAAATTCAGCTTAAAATACAGGAGAAAATACAAAGTACCAAATCAGTAGCAATGCTGGCTGCAGTGGAGCATCAGGAAGTTCCTACTCTACCTAGAGCAGCTAGACAGATAGCTACCTGTCTTTTCTTTTCACCTCACCCCCCAAGTATGGACAATAAAACCACATGGTCAAGGATACCTCACTTGTCAGGTGGCCCTTGCATACTTTCCTTCCTGTACTATCATTTTCTATTTCCTCTTTCTCCCCCAGCATAGAACTACATGGTCTAGTCATCTTCTCTATGCCAAAATTACCTTTTTAAAAAAGCTAAGAATCAAATGAAAATTGTTTGGCAACTACAGACATAAAATATTTCTGTCGAAAAAATGTTACTTCTTGGACGGGCGCAGTGGCTCATGCCTGTAATCCTAGCACTCTGGGAGACTGAGGCAGGAGGACAGTTTGAGCTCAGGAGTTCGAGACCAGCCTGAGCAAGAACAAGACCCTGTCTCTACTAAAAAAATAGAAAGAAATTAGCTGGAAAACTAAAAATATATAGAAAAAATTAGCCAG